CTGATTCTAGATCTACTTTATTCTCTTAACTACTAGTACACTCAGCTGGGTGCAGTGGCTCATGCCTGTAATCCCATTACTTTGGGAGGCCAAGGTGGGTGGATCACCCGAGGTTAGAGTTCAAGAGCAGCCTGGGCAACATGGCAAAACCCTGTCTCTACTAAAAATACGAAAATTAGCTGGGGCCGGGCGCAGTGGGTCACACCTGTAATCCCAGCACTTTGGGAGGCCAAGGCAGGCGGATCATGAGGTCAGGATATTGAGAGCATCCTGGCCAACGTGGCAAAACCCCATCTCTACTAAAAATACAAAAAAATTAGGTGTGGTGGCAGGCACCTGTATCCCGGCTACTTGGGAGGCTGAGGCAGAACTGCTTGAATCTGGGAGGCGGAGGTTGCAGTGAGCCGAGATCGCGCCACTGCACTCCAGTCTGGTGACAGAGTGAGACTCTGCCTCGAAAAAAAAAAAAAAAAATTAGCTGTGTATGGTGATGTGCACTTGTAATTCCAACTACTAGGGAGGCTGAGACCCAAGAATCGCTTGAACCCAGGAGGTGGAGGTTGCAGTGAGCTGAGATTGCGCCATTGCACTCCAGCCTGGGTGACAGAGTGAGACCCTGTCTCAAACAAACAAATAAAAAAAACTACTAGTTTACTCAAAGAGGCAGGACCAAGGTAGGAAAGAATTTAAAGGAAAAGTGAGTAGTCAGCCATGACAAATCTCACAGAAAGATCAAAGGAACTGATGATTAACGAGATCCTTTGGATCTTGGAATTCGAAGATTTGAGGTGCACTTTGCCTGGGCAGTTTTACTAGCAAAGTGTAGTAGGGGAACTAATTGAAGTAGTCTGAAGAGTAAATGGGGAGTGTGGGGAAGTGAAGGCTTGTTTTCAAGGTGTTTGGCATTAAGGAGGAGAAAGTAAAAGAAGAGCTTAGTGAAATGAGCCTGCTTGTGGAGAAAGGGTCCTGGTTTTATGTCAGCAGCAGTAGAGTAAGATCAGTGCTATGAAGCCTAATTGTGAGGGCAGACAGAGGGGGATGAAGGTGAGGTCTGGGGTACTTGTGTTGTGGGGATAGGGTAGGGAAGTTCACAGAGAAGTCTTGAGGGTTTAGCTCCGTCCAGGGAACTGGGAGTGAGGAGCCTCAAGGCTGTCCTCAAGGCTGCTGCCAATAGCTTAGTGGTAGGTAGGAATGGTTGGCAATGTGGGTGGTACAGCAGGACCCTGACTCAGCCATGGGTGGGCACACAGACAGGGGCATGGTCCCCAGGCAAGAAGGCTGCAATCTTCGGTAGTCCATCTGGGACTGGGAGGAACACAGGGGCAAAGGAGTCCTCTCTGAGGACTTGGGGAGGATTTCAAGGAGGCTGGGTTCCACTTCTTCACAGGTATCTGAGACTGTGGCCTTGGGCTGGGAGAGATGAGGAGAGGCATTGGATTAGAGCAGATCCTGTGGGAGGAGGGGCTGGACTGTACAGGAAGGAGAAGGGCTAGGGTAGTGCTGGGGTAGTGCCTGGGGATGGCACGCTGGTAGGGCAAGGACCTTGAACAAGTTGTGTTGTTGGGGCAAAGATCCAGTACCAGGCAGGGTTGGTGGTGGGCACAGGGGAGGGAACCTCACTCACCGGACTCAGGGCTGCAGTGTCCCTAAGGTACTGGCCTAGGACTCGGTGCAGATCTGGAAGTGAGGGCCACAGGGCATGCCTCAGTCTCCTGGGGGAGAAGATAAGCAGACTGAGCCATGGCAGTGAATTGGTGTGGAGGAGGAGAGCAGTTGGGGTGGGGGAGCAGTGAGGCCAGGGAGTAAGACTTGGAGAGATAACAGCATGGTCAAGGCAATAAAGTCAGGCAGGGGAGTAGAGTAAGAAGAAAACCTCAGGTAGGGGAGTGAAGTCAGTGGTGGGCAGGTTCAACAAAGGGTGCTGCAGTTTCCTCAAACATTCCAATGTTTGTTCTGTCTGGAACACTGGATTCATTCCCTCACCTCATTGTGGGCCTCTGTTCAAATGTCATCCCTGACTACCCTGCCTGAAACACAGTAGTCCCCCTTTATCTGCAGGGGATATGTTTCAAGACTCCCAGCAGATGTTTTTTCTGTACGTACATACCTATGATAAAGTTTATAAATTAGGCACAGTAAGAGATTAACAATGACTAATAATAAAATAGAACAAGCATAATAATGTGCCAATATCACTACTCTTGTTCTTTGGGGCCATTATTAACTAAAATAAGGGTTACTTGAACACAGCACTGCAATACCTCAACGAGTCAATTTGATAAGCAAGACAGCTTCTAAGTGACTATGCGGCAGAGAGCATATACGCGTGGAGATGCTGGACAAAGGGATGATTTACATCCCGGGTGAGACAGAGCAGCATGGCAAGAGATTTCATCATGTTACTTACAATTTAAAATACGTGAATTGTTTATTTCTGGAATTTTCCATTTAATTTTTTTCGGACCTTAATTGACCGCGTGTAACTGAAACCACAAAAAGTGAAACTGTGGATAAGAGGGGACCACTGTAGTACCACTTCCTTTCCCCATGACAGGCTATCTCCTGCTGTACTTCATTTTTCTTTATAGCACGTGACTTGTACATTTATTGTATTGTTATATATATTTCTTTTTGTCTATCTCACCCCACTAGAACATATGGTCCCTGAGAACAGAGAGTTTGTCTATTTATTCACTCCTATATTTCTAGGGTGTAGAATAGTGTCTGACCCGTAGTATGTGCTCAGTAAATTAGCTGAATGAATGAATGAATGAATGAATGAATAAAACCAGTAGAGCTTATTAGTAAGTTATCTGGGAAGAATATGGATTAAGGTGTGTTGGAGGAACCTCAATTCTTTTTTTTTTGAGACGGAGTCTTGCTCTGTCACCTAGGCTGCAGTGTAGTGGCACCGTCTCAGCTTACTGCAAGCTCCGCCTCTCAGGTTCACATCATTCTCTTGCCTCAGCCTCTCCAGTAGCTGGGACTACAGGCACCCACGACCACGCCCGTCTAGTTTTTTTGTATTTTTAGTAGAGACGGGGTTTCACCGTGTTAGCCAGGATGGTCTCGATCTCCTGACCTTGTGATCCGCCTGCCTCGGCCTCCCAAAATGCTGGGATTACAGGCGTGAACCACTGTGCCCGGCCAGAACCTCAATTCTTTAGCCTCATATTTCCATGTGGAGGGACGTCAGCAGAACATTTCAGGCTGCTTCAGTGACCTCACTCATATCTCTCCAGAGGACAAGGTGTGACTTACCTGGTAAATTGGGGAAAAGGAACTGAGTATGCCTTCTCAGCAGACCACCTCCTCCTACTTCTCCAACTTTTTTGTTGGATCTGGCTACCTTCATGGAGGCTACCTTTCAGTCTGCTCATACATATGGGCAGATTAAAAGTTCAAAGAGAGGTATGTTCAGAGGGAGATGGTAGCCCACAAGAGTGGCACCTGAACCAACCCAGGACCATCAAAAGATACCATCTGGAGGAGCTGACTTCTGAGCTAAGTCTTCAAGAAGCAGCAGATGAAGGACGGAGGTGGGATGCATTCTACCCTTCATGTTTATAGCCTCCAATGGCATTTCTCCTCAGCCTTCGTCTTCCCACATAAATGAGTCACTCATTAATAACATTTATTTAAGGGCCTGCTTTTTGGCAGGCACTGTGCTAAGGATTTAAAGATGACCAAGTAAGGTATAATAGGGAAGATATATAAAGAAATAAACACAGTAAAACACTACTGGTACTGTATTGGAGCACAAAGCAGCGGCCAAACGGGGGAGGGTCAGGAAAGGTTTCTTATGAGTTGGTGAAGAAAGTTATTTACAGATGAATGGGTTTAGTCAGACAGGGAGGCTATTTCAGGCAGAGGGGACATTATGTGCAAAGGCACTGAGAAGTAAAACCTGACTTGTGGAGAAAACCAGTTTGGAAAGGCACAGGGTAGAAGAGGCTGAAGTGCTTGCTGGCAGGGGTCGATTTTGCAGAGCCTCGCTTGTCATCATAGGGAGCCTGGACTATATCCTGGGAGCTATTAAAGGGATTTAAGGAGGGAATTGATAGGTTCATGTGCGCATTTTAGAAAGATTATTCTGTTGGCTGTGTGAGGCTAGATCGGAGCGGGAAGAGGTTCTGTTTCAGTGAGTCAGGGCTAGAGAAAGGGGGCCATTGTTTGGACTAGGTTTAGGAGGTGGGACCTCATGGCCAATTGGATGGGGGTGGACTGGGCAGTTTGGCTGAAGGGTGGACGGTGGCCTAGTCGCCAAGGTGAGCAGCAGGAGGCGGGGCTGTTCGAGGTGTGCGGTATAGTGGGCGTGTTAGAGTGTAAGGAGTCGCGGCAAGTCCCAGAGGAGACGTGCAGGAAGCGGCGAAGCCGTAGGTGCGCACGGGCGGTGACCGGAGATCTAGGGTCACAGAGCGAACCGAGAATGCCTGTTTAGAGGCCTCCGGCTCCGCCCGGTCCACCACCAGTCTCCTGCCTGGCGGGGGTGGTACCTGTAGTGTGCAGGAAACTGCCACCTCAGCAGCAGCAGGCCCAGGACGGCGCTGAGGCCCAGCACTAGCAGCAGAGCGGTCACCAAGGAAATCCAGGCTAGGAGACAAAAAGGGTCAGACCTCGGCCCACAGGGCCTGAGCCCCGCCCTCAGCCCGCCAGACCCTACTCTGGCCCCGCCCCTCGCCGCCCTGGGCACTGTGGGCACCCGCGCAGCCGTCGACCCGCGCGGCCAGGGCCCCGCCCCTCTCCGAGCCCCGCCCCTCCCGCCTCCGACTCCCGGTGCCTCCCGCACCCGGCGCCCCGTCCCTGGCGCAGGCGCTGTGCGGCTTTGGCGCGGCCGGGGCCTGCCTCACCGGTCTCGGTGGCGGTCTCCACCCTAGCTGGGTCCGACCACGAGCTCCAGGGACCTTGGTAGGTGGGGCCATTGAGCCTGGCGCGCAGCTGTAAACGGTAGCGAGATCGCGGGCGCAGCTCCAGGGTCCCTCCTCGGGCCCCGAGAGGCGGCTCCAGCACCTGCACAAAGAAGTGTGCGGTGGCCCGGCGTCGGGGCTTCGACAGCCGGGCGTCTGTTTGACCCAAATCCTACAGCTCCGAATCCCCAGGCTGTCGGAGATCCCCACAAAGAGCCCCACTGGCATAAAACACGCTTCCCGGCAGAAACAGGATAGAGCGCCCTAACCGAAAGCCTCTCCCCAACAGGATCACGCTCTGCCCGGGAGAAAGGCGCCAGACCTCACCTCAGAGAGCTACGTATCCTAACACCAACACCCAGGTACACCCTCGGCAAGGATCCCGGTACACACGCACCCTGCCCTGTGCTCTCACAACTCCAGGTCGGGCGATGGACACCCCCAGAAACAGATATATTCAGAGTCACATAGACCATGCCACAAATAATACTCATGCTGCGGAGGATGCCAGATTTGCGTCAGGCGCTGGGGTACAAGCATCACGTGTACAAGCAGGAAGACAGCAAACATTTATGAACTGTGTGATACTCCAAACATTGGGTTAAGCAAGCACTGGGGAGAAAGCAATAAAACACCGTCTCTTACATGTCTAATGAGGGAGACCCAAACAGGTAAATAATCACAACAATTAATTAGTGCAAGGCACCATGGAAGTCCAGAGAAGCATTTAATGCTTGGTTTTGTGCCACAGAGTAGTTTAGTGTGCTAAAAGCCTGGATGACAAGGCTGGATGGTCACAGATGAGGCTAAGGCAATCCTGGTAGGAATTTGAGGACTGTTAGTACGTTATTGCCATCAACTTAGTTGTTGATGAGTAAGGGGAAGGGGTAAGGGAAGAGCAAGAAGAGTCAAGGGTGCTTCCAGGCTTGGGTACTGGGTAAGTAGTGGTGCCATTGTCAGAGACAGGAAACAGAAGAGAAGTTAGTTTGAGGAAGATATACTTTAGGGTTCCATTTTATAGAGTTCCACAACAATCCAAATGAATCAATGGCAATGTCAGGATGGTGATTACCTTTGGTGGCGGGGGATGTGGCGGGGCATTGGGAGCTTCTGAGGTGCTGGAAATAATTTATGTCTTGATCCTGGTTATGGTTACATGGATGTATACACATGTACAGACTATTTGTACACTTTGTTGTATGTAAGTTTTATCACAATAAAAAAGTAAAGCTTCAGGAGGAAGAGGAGTTCCATTCTGGATAGACTGAGTCTGAAATGTCCAGGGGGAGGAGGTTTTGGTGGAACCATAAATGTTGCACATAGTTGTATATATGTGTGGCAAATGAGAATAAAAGTTGACAAACTAATATTTAAGTAACATATATTGGGCACTTTCCTTATGCCAGTATTTAGATATAGTATTTAATTTTTACTATAACTCCATAAGGTAGATAGCTTCATCCCACTTCACCAATGAGGAAACAGACTTCAAACGTTTTGGTAATTTGTGGTTTGTAAATTCCTTTCCATATGGGAATTAGAATGGTAAAATTGCGATTGTAATGTATGGCCATTGAAACCATGGAGTTGAAGCACTCACCTGGGGAGAAGTTTTTTTTTTATCAGAGGAGAAAAGAGCCTAGGATGAGACTGTAGGAAGCACAGCATTTTGTGGAAGGCTGGCAAGGAGGAGACAGGAGAGGAGAGTGAGAAAGTTCAGTCAGAGAGGTAGGAGGAAAATCAGGGAACACTGATATCCCAAAGACAAAGGGAAGAGAAATGTTAAGTAGGGGTAGCCAGAAGTATCGGATGCTCAAGAGAGACTAAGATACCAGTTGAATCTGATAAACATAGATATACTAGCAGAGACTGGATACATAGACACTTTCACTCCTGCTAACAGGCATGGCCAACCCCAGGGATCCCCTGCGTAGTGAGGTCTGTGGGCGTTTGTTGCTTGACCATACCTTCCAGTCCTGATGGCCTTCTCCTGTGTATCGGAGTTGATAGCAGGTCTCTTGGGCTGCCCAGGATGATGGGTGCTGCCACTCCAATTCCAGATGCCCGCTGGAGATCTCCCTCCAGTGCAAGTTTGGGGTGGGGAGGCGCACTACAGGGATGTCAGCAGGGAGCAGCTTAAGTCCTTCTGTGTACGAGGCGTCGTGCCACCAGAACCATTGGTCAGAAGGGTCAGAGTTGGGGATCCTGGGCACAGGGTCAGATTCAGTGGGGCTGGGAACTATGTGGGAAGAATGGGGAAGAAAGTTCTTACCAGCCTGGTGGATCCAGAAAGGGGAGCCCAGGTAACTGTGAACAGCACCCAGGGCTGTGGTCACCTCCACAAGGATGTGAATAACGCTGTCATTTCGTGACTTGAAGTGGCAGCGAGAGAACTGTGGGGTCTGTAATCCTGGATTTGTTTTCTCTTCCTCTTCACAGTCCTCCCAGATGGGGTACCTAAGACCCAGCCCCACAGAGTCATTGAATCAGGCCTGCCCCAGAGACTAATCCCAAGGCTTCCCATCCCACAAGAACGATGGCCTGCAGGGATTATCATCTAACTCCTTCCTTCAAGGGGCCTCTAGAGCTTTGCCTCTGTCTTTATGCCATGATGTTTTCTTTTTTTTTTTTTTCCTGTGTTCATTTGATCATTTGTTTGTTTTTGCTATTTTGCCATGATGTTTTCTGAAGTCAGCTTTGGTGTCTGGCCTCTTCCCTTTGAGGAAAGACCTAGCATGATATGTGAAAACAGCATGGGTTTTCACCAAGAGTTCAGGTCTTGGCTTACTTTTGTATAACTTTGGGCAAATTACTTGGTTTATTTCTGCTCCGGTTTCCTTCTATTTGTAAAATGGGTTAATGATACCAACCTCACAGGATTGTTTCAAAGATTAAAGAACCCTCATCTTTCTGAAGAAAAATATCCTATATTTTTAACGTGTTCTCATACGTCATTCCTCCTACTCTCCCCTATGTGTTATTTTGCTATTAGATTATTACAATAGTCTCCTAACTGGCTTTTCTGCTTTTGTTTTTGCCACTACCTTCAAGTTGTTCTCCACATGGCTACCAGAATTTGTTTCCACAAATGTTGATGTGATAATGTCCAGAATATAATGTCACAAATCTATTGATTTTGATCTTTACCACCGCTATGTTAGATGAAGCCACTATTATTCCTTGCTTGGATTAAGGCAAATTTCTAACTGGTGATTCTGCTTCTAGTCTTATTTATTTATTCACAGAGAAACATATCTTTTAAAAATGTAAATCAAATTGTCATCGTTTACTGCTTAAAATCCTTTAGCGGCTCTTCATCCCACTTTGAATAAAACCCAAACTCTTTACCAGGCCTATGGGAGTCTGTGATTTGGTTTCTCCTTGCCTCACCATTCTCATCTCTTATGATTCTCATGCCAGTTTATCACCCTTTATCCACACAGGCCTTCTTTCTGTGCCGCAGATATGCCAAATGTGCTATCTTTGCACTTTGCCTTTGCCCTGGATTGCTCTGACTGCAGGTCTTCATGTGACTCATTCTTTCTTGCCATTTAGATCTCGGCTTATCTATCACCTCCCTGGTGAGGCTTTTCCTGGCCACTCAGTCTAAATTAGCAGTACCCACCCCGCCCACCCACCGCACGCCCCCCTTTAGTCTCTATTATAACTTTGTTCCTTTATTTCTTTACTTACTTGTCTCCCCCTCCTTTTCCCCTCCCCTCTACTAATGTAAGCCCCAACAATGCTGGAACCTTTTCCATTTTATTTATTTTTAAAAATGTTTTGAGACAGTCTTGCTTTGTTGCCCAGGCTGGAGTGCAGTGGTGCGATCTCAGCTCACTGCAGCCTCTGCCTCCTGGGTCCAGGCAATTCTCCTGCCTCAGCCTCCTGAGTAGATGGGATTACAGGCGCCTACCACCACACCTGGCTAATTTCTGTATTTTTAGTAGAGATGGGGTTTCGCAATGTTGGCCAGGCTCATCTCGAACTCCTGACCTCAAGTGATCTGCCCACCCTGGCCTCCCAAAGTGCTGGGATTATAGGTGTGAGCCACTGAGCCTGGCCCCTTTTCCATTTTATTTGTTGTACTATTTATCCCCAGTGCCTTGTACAAAGTCACCCTCAATAATTCTTTATTGAACAACTGTATCATGTCTCCCTCTTGATTATAACTCCTAAGTGGCTCACCATCACTAAAATGGGTATGTTTACCCATTTAATCAACAAATAATTTATACTATGTGCCAATTGGTACTGTGCCAGGCCCTAAGAGTGCATAGAGGAATAAGCTTCAAAGAGCTCTAATTTCAGTGGGAAAGACAGAAAAACAAACATGCTATTTTTCTGTGATGTGCATAGACTGGCTTGAGAGCATCAAAGGGGAGCATCCAACCCAGACTAGGAGGGTCAGGGAATGCTTCCTGGATAAGGCAATGTTTAGACTGAGTTTTGGACTAAAAATAGGATAGGCAAAAGGGACAAACAGGCATCCCAGGCACATGGTTGTGCATAGATAAGAGAGTGTGGTGCTTTGGGGGAGATTCTAAGTGGTGCAGATGGTTTTCGCATAAAGGTAAGTGGTAAACGCAAGACTGCAGACCATGTCATGGATGGCCTTATGGCCTTTCTGGGGAGCTTGAATTTGAATTACTGCTAACTTTGTAGTAGTTATGTAGACATTTAAGGATTTTCAGCAGGGAAGTGCTTAAACTAGCTTTGTACTTTAGGAAGATCATTCTAACTGCAGTCTGTAGAAAGGATTTGTGAGGGCCGACTAGAAGCAGAGAAATCCATTATGACACTCTTGTAGTTTTTCATGTGCTAAGTGATGAGGATGTGAAAATAGAATAGCGGCAGTGAGATAGAGGGGAAGAGATGACTGAAGAAATATTGAAAAGGTGAAAATGACGAGACTATTTCTGGTTAGGCCTGGAGGGTATAGGAATGAGAGAAGTCCAGGATGATTTCTGTTTTTCAGTCCAGGAAAACTGAGTTCGTGGTAGGATTGGGGACAATAAAGAAAAAGCAATTTTTTAAATTTAATGTTATTTTTTGAGAAGGAGTCTTTTCTCTGTTGCCCAGGCTGGAGTGCAGGGGCATGATCTTGGCTCACTGCAACCTCCGCTTCCCCGGTTCAAGCATTTTTCCTGCCTCAGCCTCCCAAGAAGCTGGGACTACAGGCATGTGCCACCACGCCCGGCTAATTTTTGTATTTTTAGTAGAGATGAGGTTTCACCATGTTGTCCAGGCTGATTTCCAACTGCTGACCTCAAATGATCCACCCACCTCGGCCTCCCAAAGTGCTGGGATTACAGGTGTGAGCCACCGTGCCCAGCAGGAAAAGCAAGTTTTGATAGAGGAAATGATGACTTCAGTTTTGCTACTCTTTAGTCCACTCAGGCATCTCTATCCTATGGATATCTATGCAGTGATTAAAAAGAATGAGTTACATCTTTTTGTAATGATCTCTGAGACATGTTTTTAAGCAAAAAGGCAAACTACATATATAATGTAATCTAATTTATATTTAAAAATTAAATATTAGGCTGGGTGTGGTGGCTAATGCCTGTAATCCCAGCACTTTGGGAGGCTGAGGTGGGTGGATCACTTGAGGTCAAGAGTTCAAGACCAGCCTGGCTAACATGATGAAACCCCATCTCCACTAAAAATACAAAAAATTAGCTGGGCGTGGTGGCGCACGTCTGTAATCCCAGCTACTTGGGAGGCTGAGGCAGGAGAATCGCTTGAACCCAGGAGGCGGAGGTTGCAGTGAGCTGAGATTGCACCACTGCACTCCAGCCTGGGCAACAGAGTGAGACTCCGTCTCAAAAAAAGAAAAAAAATAAATAAATAAATATTAGGCTGGGCGTGGTAGCAGGGCTGAGATGGGAGGATTGCTTGAGCTCAGGAGTTTGAGACCAGTCTCAGCAACATAGGGAGACCTTGTCTCTACTTTAAAAAAAAAGATAGAAAATGCCTGTAGTCCTAGCTAATCAGGAGGCTCAGGTAGGAGAATCGCTTGAGCCTGGGAGGTCAAGGCTGCAGTGAGCCATAATCACGCCACTGCACTCCAGCCTGGGCAATGGAGCAAGACCCTATCTCAAAAATAATAAAATGTAAATGTTGTATATAGATGTATGTAAATACATAGAAAAAACTGGAAGAATATATTTAAATAGTTAATAGTGTTTTTTTTTTCATTATTCATTAGTTCAACAATTTTTTACTGGGCACCTACTATTGGTAGGTGAGAATATATTGGTGAATAAAAACAGACATTGATCTTGCCCTCATGGATCATATTTGGTCAAGGTCAGACTTTCTCAATTGGAGTTCTAAGAGATTTTTTTTTTTGGAGACAAAATCTTGATCTGTTGCCCAGGCTGGAGTGCAGTGGTATAATCATAGCTCACGGTAACCTCAAACTCCTAGGCTCATGCCGTCCTCTCACCTTAGCCTCCCAAGTAGCTAGGAATACAGGCACATGCTACCATGCCTGGCTAATTAAAAAAAAGAAATTTTGTAGAGACGAAGTCTCACTATGTTGTCTAGGCTGGTCTCAAACTCCTGGCCTCAAGTGATCTTCACACCTTAGCCTCCCAAAGTGCTGGGATTACAGGTGTGAGCCACTGGGCCTAGCGAGATTTTTATTGTCAACCAAATAATCATATAAAGTGTAAATATAAAAGTGTGACTATGATAAGTACTCAAGAAGGAGAGGTATGGCCGGGCGCAGTGGCTCACACCTGTAATCCCAGCACTTTGGGAGGCCAAGGCGGGTGGATCACGAGGTGAGATTGAGACCATTCTGGTTAACACGGTGAAACCGCATCTCTCCTAAAAATACAAAAAATTAGCCAAGCATGGTAGCAGGCGCCTGTAGTCCCAGCTACTTGGGAGGCTGAGGCAGCAGAATGGCACGAACTCAGGAGGCGGGGCTTGCAGTGAGCCGAGATCCCGCCCGCCACTGCACTCCAGCCTCGGCGACAGAGCGAGACTCCGTCTCAAAAAAAAAAAAAAAAAAAAAAGAAGGAGCGGTACATGGTACAACAAGAATGTATAATAGTGCTATTGGACTTAATAAGGAAGGCCAGAGGAGGGTCCCTAAGAGAGTGACGCTTGAGTTGAGATTTGGAGGATAAGTAGAGGTTAAGTAAAGACAGGAGGGCTGGGTAAACAGCAGTGTAAAGACCTAGAGCAGGAGGGAATATGCCAGATATGAGTGGACCACAGAAGGCCCGTGCCGGAACATGGGGATCAAAGGGCAGCATAGCACAAGATGAAGCTGAAGAGGTAGGTAGGGTCTGAGTCTCAGAACTTTTCAAGTCCATGATAGAGGTTTTTTTTTATCCTAAGACTAGTTGAAAGCTATTGAAGATTTTTAAGCAGAGAGTGTTATGTTCATTTTTGCACTTTTAAAAGATCCCTTCAGGTGGCTCACACCTGTAATCCCAGCACTTTGGGAGGCCGAGGCAGGTGGATCACCTGAGGTCAGGAGTTCGAGACCAGCCTGACCAACATGGTGAAGCCCCCTCTTTACTAAATACAAAAAAAATTAATGGGGTGTGGTGGCACATGCCTGTAATCCCAGCTACATGGGAGGCTGAGGCAGGAGAATCACCTGATCCCAGGAGGTGGAGGTTGCAGTGAGCCAAGATTGTGCTATTGCACTACAGCCTGGGCAACAGAGTGAGACTCTGTCTCAAAACAAAACAAAAAGTTCCCTTCAGCACCTGTGTGAAGAATTACTTGGAAGACTCAGGGTGGTCAGTTACTACATCTTTTCAGTAGCTGAAGAGAGAATTGATGATGGGTTGTAGTAGGATAATGGCAGTGATAGACAAGTGGGCAGATTCTAGAGTTAGTTAATAGGTAAAATCAATACAACTTGGTTATAGATTTAGATATGGAGAGGATGAAGAATTAATGAGGTGCTTGGTGGAACTCTTTGAAGGCCAGGCTAAATTTTTTATGGCTTTGATAATGAGAAATTGCAGTACATATTTGAGTAGGGGGAGACCATGCAAAGTTAGAGCTTTACAAAGGTCATACACAGTTTGAGCTTAACAAAGATCACTCTGTTAGCAGCATGGGGAATACACTGGAGGTGAATTAGACTGTAGGCTGTTGCAGTGGTCCGAGTGACATGACTAAGGCTGAACTAAACCAAAGCATTCCCAATGGGAACAGAGAGGGGTTGAGAAGATAAAATATCGACTGGAGGATGAGAGAATAGATAAGAGAGCATTGAAAGCTGTATGGATTTTGGACAAGGGAGGAGAGTGAAGACGACCAAGAACACTCTCTTCCTTTTTTCTGCAGGACTGTGGCTCACTCCCATGACACCAACCTCAATCAGCAGTTCAGCTCTCACCTGTCTCTGGGGCAGCACCGTGCCCTGCTGTGGTAGAAGAAACCTTGGGATCTAGCATGGTCCTCTTGCTGCCATTGACACGTAACATTCTTCAGGTCCAAGGTAAAGCATTGCAGTCCAATTGCCACTAAAGTCAAAGAAATAAGTCCCATCAGGGTCCGTGTGCCCCTACTGTATAGGGTGTTCAGATCATTTCTACACATACAACTTAGAACATGGACTCCTATTCTCTCTTCTTTCCCTGAACATAGTTCATCCTGTCCAATGGCAAGTTTGAGATCATCAGGGAGGACCATGGTTCCCAGAGCTTCAGATCCAGCCCAGGCTTCCCTAGAGCTCTTCTTTTATCTGCTCCCCATCTCCCTATTCCTTTGTGGACTCACCTGCATCTCCAGGCAGGTCCACAGTCACAGGGAGGGACCAGGATCCCCAGGAGCCACCGAGGGAGATCCCATCAGGTTCGCTGCGCAGCTGCAGCCAGTAGGAGTTGCCAGGCTGGAGTCCTGAGATGAGGCAGCTTCCACCCACTGCTGTCAGAGCTGAAGCCTTGGGAGGAAAATCCCAGCTTCACAATCTAGGTCTGCCTGTCAGCTGAGACAGCCTCCAACCCTTATATTTGCACACCATCCCTGTGGAGAGGAGCTCAGCTCCTTGCTGGATAGATATGCACACAGTCCAGGGGCCAAGTTGGTGGGTTTCAGGTGGTGTTCAGGGTTTTGTTGGGAAATCTCCATTAATTTGGAGGCCTAAAAGACTTCATTTTTATCAGTGGGAATGACCCAAAGTAGGAAGCCCCTAAGTAGACATGGCTCATATCTGAGCCTATACTAACTCTCCAAGGATGAACCCAGGTCTGGAATCCCCAAAGTATGGTCTGTCCTTTCCTGGGGCAAGATTGAAGGTAGGAGATAGGAGGTGAGGCAGAAGAAGGTCAGCATACTTCTCTAGTTGGGGAGGTCTGCTTTGGTCCATCTTGCCAGGGCATTGTGGGCTGAGCACATGGAGACTGGTCCAGAGCAGAGGCTGAGTGTGGCCTCTGCAGAGCAGGGCAGCAGGTTTCTGTGGCGATCAACTGTATGACCGTGGGACCAGTGGAGTTCTTGAGATCTTTGGGGCCATAGCGGAGTTCGTACCTCAGGAAATCACTGATTTCTGGAGCTGGGGCCTCCCAGCTGATCTGAAGTTCCCCTGGCTGGCTCCCACCCATGGCCTTGATGATACTGGGGGGAGCCGGCAGGCCTGAGGGCAAGACAGGGCACATCAGAACTCTGAGTACCACAGTCTATGGCTCAGCCTCTGGACTGCAGAGAGGGGTGCTGGGGGCTGAATTGGGGCAGCTTCTGGATTCAAAAATTGTAGGCTGTCATTCTCCTGGAGGGCAGGCTAGGGAGGCTCCTGATTCTGTTCTTCCCTCATGAGAACAGTGACTTCATTGCAGTATGATGGCTAGCTAGACTCAGTGCTTCTTGGAAGCAGGGATCCCATTTTCTCCATATCCCATCACCTAGCCCAGTGTCTGGCACACAGTAGGTATTCAGGAACTCTTGAATGGATGAATAAATGATTTGTTAATGATGGGAGGACCAGGGTGTCCCTGGTGTGAAATGATATGTGGGACAGTTCTAGCTCTAGATGCCAAGGCTGGGAGGAATGACAAGGGAGTCTTGGGGTGCCTCGGGGGTCTGTTAATAGGGGTATCCGTGCTGAGCCGGAAGGGCACAGATAAGTCTGATTCCAGGAGCTGGACTGGGGGCAGCAAGTGGAGGGACCGGGTGACAGGAGGATGGCTCTTACCTACACTGTCCACAAAGAGGACTCGCTGAATCTGAGTCTGGTTTAGGAACACATTCTTCACCCAGAGGTGCAGCGGAGAGAAGAGACGCACTTCTTCCTGGGCTGGAAACTGGCACACGTATCGGGTTCCAAAGCGGGGCACGCTCTGAGAACTCAGGGGGCAGGCACGGGGCTTCTCCCTGTTGGCATAGCAGAGATCCCTCCTACACAGCCACCAGGCAGAGCCCTGAGGACCCAGACCTGGGCTCATGCCCAACTTTTGTCTCTAGTACTGCCATTTTTCTTCTTAATGCCTGGGATAGGTGGGATTAGGGGTTATGTAGGGCTGGAGTTGGGGCCCACATACATCCAAAGCACATCTGTTCAAAAACTGGGTACTTAGGGCTTGTATTCAGAGTGATCCTCGGACGGGCAGGAAAGCTGCTGGAGTGGGACTCAGCTAAATGCAGGGACAGATAGATATATGGGGAGTGGGGCACAGTCCAGCACCTACCCCGGGTAGGCATACAGCAGCTGGTATGTCCCACTGGGTGCTGCCTCTTCCTCATCCCAGAAGCAAGTGAGGTCCTCAAATGTTCGGGAGAAACACTTCAGGGGCTCTGAGTCCGAGGCCAGCAAGGAGACATCTAAGGAACAGCTGGTGAGTTGGCCCTGGGTCCTCCCAGGCATGTTTACGTGGAAGAGGAGGGGACCAGCAGGAGAGCCTCTTACTCTACCTCCCCTCCCAGGGCCTTGCATCCCCTCCCAGGGCCCTGCATCACCTCCCAGGGCTCCCTCTTCCTGGGCATAGGTGATCTCCACCCTCCGTGCACCTCACCTTGGCTGCTGACTTGGGCCAGGTTTTGAGGGGCCAGGAGGAGGCAGGAGGTGACCATGAAGAGGGCCCAGGAGGGCATCTTCTCCGCCACTGTGTGCCTGCCTTAGCCCATCCTCCCTTCAGGAAGCCGGGCCCCAATCCCCTCCCAGGCCAGCCCCTCAGGTTCCTGTCAGATACAGCCCCACGTCCTGTCCCTTTCCCTGCCCCTCTGGGGCCCATCCAGACCACACTGGGGCCAGGGGCCAGGGGAGGGAGAGTGGGCAGGAGGGAAGGAGGAATTTGAAAGAGAGGACACAGGCCTTTTGGTGGGAGGGAGATGGGGGTTGTATATTTGACCGTGTACCAAAAGGCAAGTCAGCCTCTGTATCTATGTTAATGATTATAGAATGGTATAACAGCATCAGAATAGCAGCCTTTACTGAGTACTAACTATGCTGCCATGTGTTAAGCACTTTATATCCATTCACTTAGACAGTCCTCACAATAGTCTTGTTATTTCCATTATAGAGATGAGGAAACGGAGATGTAGAGAAGTTAAGGATTTGCCCAAGATTACATATGTACTAAGACATGAAGCTCAAGAGGTCAACCTTCAGAACCCATGTGAGTAACAACCATGCTGTGCTATGCTCTTAGGAGGCTAATGTGCTGAGAAATGACTGTCTGCCCCACAACATGCCAAATGGTGGGTATTTCCACTTTAATAGTTCTGTGACTTTGTGCATGAATAAACACATTCTCTCTGGAACTGGACATGCCCTCTCCGTTATGGGCGGCCTCCACGGCTGCCTCTAATCCCTTGCTACTCAAAGTGTGGTCTACTCAAAGGAGCAACAGCATTAGGTGGACACTTATTAGAAATGCAGAATATTAGGTCCCGCCCCAGGCCTGTTAAAATAGAACCTGCATTTTACCAAAATCCCCAGATGGTTTGAATGTAACTTAAAGTTGGAGAAGCAATAGTCTTCAATACTTTTATCCTGTTTGCTCAGAACCAGTGGGTCGGGCTGGGTGCAGTGGCTCACACTTGTAATACCAGCACTTTGGAAGGTCAAGCTGGGTGGATCCTCTGAGGTCAGGAGTTTGAGACCAGCCTGGCCAGTATGGTGAAACCCCATCTCTACTAAAAATACAAAAAAATTAGCCAGGCGTGGTAGCGCTTGCCTGTAGTCCCAGCTACTCAGAAGACTGAGGCATGAGAATCTCTTAAACTCAGGGGGCAGAGGTTGCAGTGACCCAAGATTGCACCACTGCACTCCAGCCTGGGTGACAGGGCAAGACTGTCTCAAAAAAAAAAAAAAAAAAAAGAAAGAAAAATTCAGTGGATGGCTGGTCTCAGCTCTTCAGCCTGTGCTCATCTCCTGTCACTGAACCCCAAGCCTTCTCCTGGGACTGCTCTGTATATGGATTTTATGCCAATTCTAGGAGCCTTGACTCTTGTGTGGGTGGGGGTGGGGACAGGAGATGAGTTGCGGGGGAGGGCGCATAGCCACATTAACTCCCATTTTTCGCCCCTCAGGCCTTAGCTGGGGCTCCCATTGCTGGCTTTACAGACTAAGTATCCTCAATATCACCTTCCTGTCTTCTTCCTTCTTAATTAATTTTACTAACAGAATTGTGGGAGGTGCTGGAGGAGATGGAACTCCTTCAGCCCTCCTGTGAAGTCTTAGTTTCTCTGGCACCATTTCTCTGCAAGTAGTCCCTGACTCAGATTTGTCTTTAGCTGTACCTGGCTCTCACATTATGGGGACTGATGGTAATGACATTGGATGCCTTCCCCAGTCCCCAGGCAAGGGCTACCCAAACTTCTGTGAGATCAAGTGAGAGGGGAAACACAACTTGAGTGTTCATGCAGTCCCATGGCTTTGATGCTCTGTATATGCTGATGACTTCAAAATGATATCTCTAGCTGTGACTTCTTCCCTGGGCTCCAGATTTGGATCGCCAGCTGCCTACTTGACTTCCCCACTTGCATATCTAAAAGCATCTTATACTTTTAAAAATTTTTTGTAGACGGAGTTTTGCTCTTGTTGCCCAGGCTGGAGTGCAATGGTGCAATCTCAGCTCACTGCAATCTCTGCCTCCCGGGTTCAAGCAATTCTTTTGCCTCAGCCTCCCAAGTAGCTGAGATTACAGGCGCCCACTACCACGCCTGGCTAATTTTTGTATTTTTAGTAGAGACAGGGTTTCGCCATGTTGACCAGGCTGGTCTCGAACTCCTGACCTCAGGTGATCCACCTGCCTTAGCCTCCCAAAGTGCTGGGATTACAGGTGGGAGCCACCACGCCCGGCAAGCATCTTATACTTAAGGTGGTCAAAATAAAACTCTGGATTCTCATTCCCACCTCTAACCCTGTTTATTTGGTTTTCCTCTAGCCTTGCCTACCCCTGTAAATAGCATTACCACCTACTTAGTTGCTTGAACCAACACCCTCCATACTCGTTGATCCCTGTCTTTTACTCTGCATTCTACATCCAATTAATTAGCAAGTCCTGTCAGACCTTCCTTCAAAATGTATACTGAATCTGAACACATTTAACCACCTCCACCCTTACTGTCCTAGTCCAAGTCTGGGTTACTATAATAGCTTCCTAACTGGTGTCCCACCTCCATTCCCACCCTCACCCCCGAGGCTGTCCTCCACACAACACTGTGATATGTTTAAAATGCACATCGGATTTCTTCACTCCCCTCTTAAAATCCTCCAAAGATTTCCCACTTAGAATACCACTCAAATGCCTTCTGATGGCATGCCTGGCCCTGCCTGACCTGGCCGCTGCGTACTTGAATCTTATCTCCTACTTTCTTTCTTCCCTCTCAGCCAGCCACAATCATCTCACTGTGTCTCTCATCTTAATCCTCTTCGTATTCAACCTTTCTGCAACACTTGATAATCTTCATCCTTCCAATGTCACATTCTCCTGGTTTCCTGCTACCTCCTATCACATCCCCACTCAGTTTCCTTCTGTGGTTGCTCTTTCTCTTAAATCTTGCTGCCTCCAGGTGTCCCTGCTCAGCCCTTTCTATTGCCAGAGTGATCGCATGGCTTCAACTCTGTCTACACACTGGTAACTTGCAAGATCTCATCAGTCTCTCGAACTTCAGATTCTCAATTGGACATCTCTATTTGTTGTCCCATAGGCACTTCAAACTCCCCAAGCTCCAAATATAACTAACTCCCATACACCCTTTGGGTCCTCTCTTCAAGCTCTGTTCTGCATCTCTCATGGGCTACCTAGGCTCCTAAGCCTGGAACCTGAGAGTTATCCTCAAACCTTCCTTCTCCCTCTACACCTACATCTAAGTCCTGTGTCTTCTACAGGGAGGCGGTATAATAGCAGTTAAAGGTGCAGAGACTGCAAGGGGCTTGTGTATGACTGTCAGAAAGGGGCTTTCTGAGAGTTGAGAAAGGGGCTCTCTGCTTCTGCATGGGAGGAGGTCCACTCTCTATCCCTGTCATTTTCCCATTTTCTTTTGCTTCCACACAGCTGAAAAAAGTAGTCTTCTCCAGGCCTTGATTCCTTCCTTCCCTCCCTCCCTTCCTTCCTCCCTCCCTCCCTCCCTTCCTTCCTTCCTTCCTTCCTCCCTCCCTCCCTTCCTTCCTTCCTTCCTTCTCCCCTCCTTTTCTTTTTTTGATGGAGTCTCGCTCTCTCACCCAGGCTGGAGGGCAATAGCACGGTCTCGGCTCACTGCAACCTCCACCTCCCAGGTTCAAGCAATTCTCCTGTCTCAGCCTCCTGAGTAGCTGGGATTACAGGCGCCTGCCACCATGCCTGGCTAATTTTTGTATTTTTAGTAGAGATGGGGTGTCACCATGCTGGCCAGGCTGGTCTCGAACTGTTGACCTCGTGATCCACCTGCCTTGGCCTCCCAAAGTGCTGGGATTACAGGCGTGAGCCACCACGCCTGGCCCAGGCCTTGATTTCTTTAGAATATCAAGCAGGAACTGGGATATCTAGGAGAAAGGAGGCCATATAGGTCTGCCTGCTTTGGTGAAGGAGTTCTGCAGGCTCTTGAAAGTCCAATGCTGCTCAGCAGGCCTAGGCTTTCCTTTTGGGATATAAGGCCAAAGACCTGGCTTATAAAACTGGTACTTGATCTCTGGGTAGCTATCGTTCAGAGAACTCAAGGGGTTGCTGGATGAGGATTGGCTCAGGCTATAGTGTGCTGACAAACTGGCTGGGGTGGGGTAGGGTGTTCTGTTTGGTAACATTTGCTGCTTTTCGTGGTGTAAATACTTCTGTCATGGCCTGTTTCAAGCTACTAACATGATGTCACTGAGCAGTGAGCTGGGAAGATAACTGGCTCTTGGCTCTCGTGAGCCTGTGCCTGTGCACTTGCCCTTTATCTCCCCATGTTTTCAGATTTCCCAACACCTGCTGGTTTTTTTCCAGTTAGAAAATTAGGGACAGGTAGCTTTAGGCACTAGGATTCTCTATCGCCTCATCTCTTTCTCAACATTGCTAGTTGTCTCTCTAGAACGATGGTTCTGGCCGGGCACGGTGACTCACGCCTGTAATCCCAGCACTTTGGGAGGCCGAGGCGGGCGGATCACCTGAGGTCAGGAGTTCAAGACCAGTCTGACCAACATGGAGGAACCCCATCTCTACTAAAAATACAAAATTAGCCGGGCATGGTGGCACATGCCTGTAATCCCAGCTACTCAGGAGGCTGAGGCAGGAGAATCGCTTGAACCCGAGAGGTGGAGGTTGCGGTGAGCTGAGTTTGTGCCATTGCACTCCAGCCTGGGCAACAAGAGTGAAACTCCATCTCAAAATAAACACATAAATAAATAAATAAACAAACAAATAATGATGATTCCATTTATACACTTAGCAGCGTGTTAGGGTGCTGTATTTCCCCCACATCTTTGTCAACTTTTTTGTTTGTTTTTGTTTTGACAGTCTTAACTCTGTCGCCCAGGCAGGAGTGCAGTGTGCGACGCACAGCCCCTGGGAGGAGCCTGAGCTGCCTGCAGGAAATCACCCCTTCCCTGGGGGCGGGAGGGGAATGAATGACTCAGGGCCAACTGGTGGGAGTTCTGTTTTTGTGGTCAGGATGGGCTGTAGGGAGGTTCCTGGGATGAAGTACTCACTGGGTTCGCCTTTCCCAGCTGCCTCCTAATGAGGCTTTTCCTCTGACCTTTTCCATTCTATACCTGGAAACAAGTTTGTGCTACTGGTCTGGTCTTTTGCTCCAAGCCCCACCCAACCCAGGCCATCTCCTGTGAGAATATGGCTGTTGAGTGAAGCAGTGAGAACTGAGGCTATAACAGGTGCGGGCAGGCGAGGCTGAGCATTTAGGACTGTGCTCTGGACCTGCAGTTTGCTGACTTGCGTGTATTGGGGTTCTGGGTCTTCAGTGCTACAGTGGGAATGGGGAGACCTTCTGTTGGGGGAGGGTATCTTTGGGGCCCACAACCTGGTGTGTGATTGATATATTTGTGGTGAATTTGGAAGTGTACTATACCCAAATCTGGCCCTTTCACTGTGCCAGAGAAGCAGCATAGTACTGTGGCTAAGAGAGGGAGCAAGAATATCCAGGTTTAAATATCAGCTCTTGGCCAGGTGCAGTGGCTCACACCTGTAATCCCAGCACTTTG